GATTTTCCTCATTAAAACATCTTTTATTAGTTAATTTTTCATGTTTTGTATGATTCATTTTGAAGTTTTATGTTTATGAGAGTGAACTTATATAATGATTGAATTGATTGTTTATATAGTTTTAATTGAATTGAACAAAAATTGGTCTGATGAGTTTTTTTTATGAAAGCAGCCAATTATTGACTTACTCATACACATTCGATAGTTATAAAGTAACCATTGCAACAAGACAAAAAAACTCTCGATTTTGACGAAAGATTTGGTTTTTTGTGCAATCAAAAATGCAACGTTATTCAATGCAATATAATGGAACGCAGTCCAATGTAATGTATAATCGGTGTTTGTATTTCTGTGGTTTTTAGCAAAACGAATTTCGATTTCCATTTTTCTCTAGACGCTTCTTTCGTTTGCTGACAGTGTTTCTTACATTTACACCAAACAAACAGTTGGCATAATGGAACTTCATGCACTGTGCCGCCAACATTATTTACACAAACCAAATACTAGTCTGGTTTTTCTTCTCATGTACATGCATCTTCTAGAACATCTGCCGTTGTTTTGATAACTCGTTTTGTGTGTTTCTCTTAATTAGAAATAAATATTCAATTTTTTCATCGTTTTATTGATCAACCGTAAAATTTGTGTAACATTGTTTAAAACAAATAATTTTAAAATAAGTTTGGACTGGAAATGCGAAATTTTTCTACTTTGCGTTGAAAAACATTGAAATTAATTTTTCAAGCAAGAAAGCAAGCCTTGCATGTCACTTCTTGCCAGTAAGACAATCGAGATTATATAGCGCTTACAATTGGTAGATAAGTTTTATTTAGTAAATACGACTCAACGGTACAATGTCGGAAAAAGAATGGCAGGAAGTGTATTTCGTGGCAAGACAAACCAGCTTTGTACTACAACCTAGGTAGGTACCAGCCATCCAGTTGGGCAAGCCAGTTGCAAGAATTGTCCTTTGTGGCCCACCTCAGTGTGCACGAGATGCATTTGTATGCAGCGAATGTTGAATAAATGAACGAAATTCTACGCAATTTAAAAACATACATACACGCGCATACGCCAACAACAACAACAACAACAACAACAATAATAATAATTATAATAATAATGATAAAGATATTAACTCTAGTGATTCTAACAAAAAAATTAAAGAAACCGACGACGTTTTTATTTTATTCTGTAACGAATGATTATGACTGCAGCAAAACATCAAAGGAAAATACTCTGCAGTTATTTAATTTGATAATTTGACTTCATCGCCTTATCTACAATGATTTGGACTCCAGTAAAACATAAACATCAAGAGAAGAGCCGAGTGCTGATTTAATTAAACTTCATTGAGATGTCAACGATGATGATTGTGAAAGTCTGTTTTTTTCATAAAAATCTCATGTAATGCCTTCACGTGCCTCTCTGTTGGTTTCTGCACTTTCGCACGTGAATTTATTTTTATTTGCCGCATAATCCTTATGAACTCAGCTTATTGATTTTTTCAGGGGTTTATTTTCTCGTTGATGGTGCATTCATTCATTCATTTATTTATTCATCTTATTGTTCACTTGTTTGATTCGTTCATTCATTTATTCATTCATTCTACTGTTCGTTTGTTTATTCGTCCATTCATTTACTCATTTATTCATTCACTCAATCATTCATTCAATAACTCATTCAATCGTTCATTCAATCATTCATTCAATCATTCATTCAATCAATCATTCACTTATTCATTTGTTCATTTATTTATTCATTCCTTCATTCACTCACTCATTCTCTTATTGTTTCTCTTATTGTCTCTGCTTCGTTTTTTACTTCATAATTTGAAGAGATTTTCAGAACGAAACCGATTTTTGTTTGAAAATTATTCTGAAATAAATATGAATTATAATTAAAAAATTGTTGGAGATATTTTCAACGGTTATCAAGACGAAAGTTCAATCATTTCTCATTAGTTGTCATGTTTGTTCAATTAATTTTTCTAATAAATTTTCAACATCGCAAATAGTTTTTTTGTTGGTGTCCTATTGTCGTACATATTGTGTCTGTTCACGTGTGTGTGTGTGTGTGTGTGTGTGTGTGTGTGTGTGTGTGTGTGTGTGTGTAGGTGTGTGTCTATTTGTAAGTACTTGTTTACTCATTTGTATGAGATGAGGAGAGGATATGCAGCATATATACAAAGCGACTGAGCACACTCGCCAACAATTATTATCAATGTTAAAAACATGCTTATCCACGTTGCTGTTGTTTTATGATTTTTATGTTTCGTAGCGAAAACCTGAGAAGGAGTTGGATTTTTCATGCTGTTTGTTGCTAATCACTTTATTATTTGTCCCTCAATTAGTTTAAAATTGTTACAAAACATTTGTTATGTTTTTAATAACTGCTCCTTTTTTCAAAATTTACAGTTAAGTTGACAATTAATTTAGAGTCCAAACACATCAATCGCCATATCTTGTAAAAAATAAATGTAGTCTACAACATTTCATCTTGAAGTAAAACACAAATAAAAATATATTTGTATAAAGATTAATTTTTTGGTTACAGAAGATTTTGAATGCAAAATATGGTAGTGAGACTGGTCAAGTTGAGAGTAGAAAAATAAATGTTGGCGTTATTCTATGCTACATTCAGATCGAAAGTTATAACATGGGTATTTTCTGAGTATTTGGTGAATGTTTAAATTTTTAAAATAAACAAACTCTAACAAAAAAGTTATCCCCTAATGAACAGACACAAAAAGTCAATATAACGGACTCATAACAGAACCCTATAGAAAATGAACGCACTAACAAACAACACAAACAACAGTAGCAACGGCAACAACACCAAAAGCAACTACAACAACAACAGCAACAACAACAACAACTACAACAAAAAACAACAACAGAAACAATAATAACAACAACAACAAAGTTTAAAACATCAGCAAGAAATAAATATGACGTATTACTTCTGAGGCTAATCTTGCGGGCAATCATTCACACAACAAAAATACACACACACACGTATTACATACTGACCAAGATCCACACACACATCAACAAACACACATACAAAAGTACACGCACGCACATACACACGTTTATAAACATGTGGTGGCATAGCTAATTTAACGTGGAAAAAATAATTCAATTCGCTCTTGAGGTTATGAATTTCAGTGCAAAGTTTTTTCTCTGAACTATCCAACAAGGTCTGTTTTGATTCATTTTCAGCTATCCTTAAAACCTTTGTTTACGCGTATAAGACGTATTACACACAGACACACATACAATGATACATGCATACATGCATTTGTCATAATTGTAGTTATGTTCCATATTTTTTTGCAAAAAAAACTCTTCCAATTTTATTAACAGTTTTTAACTACAGCAGCTGAACTAGAAACTTACCTCTAATGTTTCTAGATTCAACCAAATGATGTTGATCCAATAAATATTTGTTTTATACATTTTTAAATATGACTCAAAATCGTAACACGTAATATAGGATTCCATGTACATATGTAAAACAAATATGTGACACCGTATGCAATATATAGAGAACTGGACAGGTGAAACTGACATGCTAAATGACATACAATTTCATGCACACACAAGATGACAAATATGTAGGAAACATATTTATATATTAAAGATAGGAAAGGAACGTGTTAATTGGCTCGTAACTATCACTCAATTTTTAGGTTTTTTATTATGCCCGGCAGTATTATCATTAGTTTAAATATGGAAAAGTTTGAGATTGAAGTTGCTCTGAGGCGGTTGCTTAGTACGTAGCTTTGGTAATAAATTTTTATTTTATGCATTACAAGCACGTTGTCGGGATTTCGATTTTGGCGTTTATCAATGAATTTTTAGAAGAAATGAATTTCTAGAGGGAAAGGAAAATAATTTTTGTAATTGCCGTCAAAATGTTTTTTATTTTTCAAAAAATTCATTTTGTAAACATTCAAAAAGCCAAGTTGTAATGTCAGACGACAATTAAAAATTGAAGACGTGATACGTTCAAACGTCTTTCTTCAGATTAATCCAAGTTACTTCTCACTGGAGAGCGCCGGTAGCTTTTCGTGGATTTCTGCTGTTATTATTGCCATCATTGCTATTATTATTATTATTATTATTATTATTATTATTATTATTATTTGAACAATTGAACTGTTCGTTTAAAACTAATCATATCTCGTTGTACTCGTTTATTTCAAATGATGGGCATCGTAGAATACTATTGTATTTAATTTAATTTAAATCAATTTATCTATTTTATTTTATTTTATTTTATTAGATTTTAATTAGACTTTTATCTCATTTTACTATATTTCATATTTTTCTAGAAATAAAAGAGAGTTCACATTATTATTATGCAAGAGAAAACACGTAACAATACAGATGCTAACTGTGATTATTGTGGCCCATATTGATTGCGTAATCTCGATCGTTTCAGTTTTTTTGTTACTAATTATTGTTGTAATTTTAGTAACTTAATTTTGTAATATTTTATCAAATTCAAGCGTGTTCGTGAGACAACGATTAAAGTCGTTGTGTTGTTAAATATTCAAAATTGTATTTATATTTCAGTCTTTGTCATCTTAAAAAAAAATAAAGAAATTGTGTTTCAGTTAACTGTTTGAGAAATTTATAGGTTTGCCGTTTGAGTCTGGGAGTGACAAATTGTATTGTCGAACTGTTAGATGATTCAAAGCAAAGCAAAAATTTTAACGGTAAGAAATGACGAACCAACTGATGAAGTTTTTGTAGGCTGATACTTATGTCCTAGCACGGATTTTAATAAAACAACGGACATTTAGAGATAAACAATAATGGTATAAATTCTGGAATAATTTGACGTAAGGAAAGGAAAAAATTTATGAGAGGAAAACTAAAATTTCTTCAACTTTTAGACTTTACTGTACGACAAAAAAATTATATAATAATTAAAAATAATTTTGAATATATACAACAGCCATTAAATGTGAACCTACGCAGGCGACGACCACGATGACGAGCGGCGAGATTCTCTTATCGCTGCGCTACCTGCCGACAGCTGAAAAATTAACAGTCTCAATCATAAAGGCCATCAACCTGGCCACCACCACTACTACTACTACTGCTGCTGCTGCTGCTGCAATAGATTTTCATGATGAAAATAAACAAAGAGACCATGATGGTGATGGCAGCGATGTTGCAGGAGACGATGCTGCCGTTGCTGAGGCGAACGTTTCTATGGCTTCTCTCGGAAATATACTTCTTCCAGGTAATTAGAGATTACATTTTTTGTTGAAAGTGTTTTAAGATTTAACTCAAAAAGAAATAAAACTGAAATATTAGTTGAAATAATTTTGATCAAATTCCATATAATTTTATCTTATTAATACACCAAACATGTTTGCAATAATTCGATTAAATTATTAGGCAGAACCCTAAAAAAACAACAAAAATTGTTAATAAGAAATGTAAAAAGTAGATTCCAACAAAAGACAAATGGTATGAATTTCAATAATGTGAAAAAATTCAGTGGAATCATAATGATGAGGACAAACAGGCAGAGGTATCATAACGAAACGTTCACTCGCGTGCAAATATTTTGCTCATACGAACTCATACTGACTGAATCGTACAGAGTGAAAGTGGTTTGGCAAATTAATAATTTGCAAACATCAATGTTTTTGCATTACTAATGATAATCCATCCAGACCCATACGTCAAGACATCTCTAATGTACAACGATCGTGTTATAAAACGCAAGAAAACCGCAACTCGAATATCAACGTTGAATCCGGTGTTCGATGAATCCATGACATTCGATGTCCCACTGGAATGCATCGACAAGGTGTACCTGAATATTCGTGTTTACTCCGGAAAATCCTGGTTTGTACACTCTTAACTTTGTTGCTGTTTGTCTTGTTGTTGTTTGTTGTTGTCGTTGCTGGGTGTTGTTGTTTTGATTGAGAATATTAGTGGCGTTCTGCTGTTAAAAACGTTAGTGTTAATTCGGTCGTCATCAGGTCTTTATTGTTTATGGTGTAGAAATTATAGATGATAATGCTTATGTTGTTTGAGTGGTTAGTGTATGGTGATGGTTGATGATGACAAGCTTGTTGTAAAAATATTGGTCTGGATGGTGATAAATAGTTGGCGATGTTTTTGTAGGGAACCATTCTGTTGTTTTTGTTGTGAATGTCATTTGTTTAATTCAGTTCAATTTGATCAATTTGATTTGTTTTTATTTTATTATTTATTCATCTATCTACCTGACACCATTTGAAAAATTTTCTTTTTTGAAACATTTCAGTTCTTAATGCACAATGAGAAAATAATGAATAATCACTAATCTCTAATTCACAAGTATATCATCCTACTCAACATAACTCATCATCATCATCACACCATCATTTTCATCATCCTCATACTTATTATCACTTATCCTCATCACGTACAATCATCATAAACATCACCATCAATTTTCCCTGAAGTTCTGAAATAGGCATTCGTACCTCATTCATTCATCATTCACGTCATACGTCAATCATTCATTCACAATTAAACTTGTGTTCCATAAAGGCTTCAACATCCACACCACACACCACACCACACCACACGATATATATACGCATAGACATTTTACATGCACGCGTAGGTACCGCATCATTCGAGTAAAGCATTTAATAGGTATAAAGCATCCAACTAAATTTAGGCTAACCTGTTCGCCTGTAGGAAAATTTTGGCTCTTATTAATTTGATTGTAGAAATTTTAGTTTGCAATCGTGGGTGTGCTGCTGCTGCTGCATTTGTCCAACTCTTTTCATCTCATCATTTATTCATCCATCCGACACTCATTCGTGGAAATATTTCCGCGGTAGAAATACTCCAATTTTCAGTTTTCATAAAAAAACGAAAAACAAAAATGAAAACATATACACCCACAATTCTGCAATGTTTCATCGTCGTCATCATCATCGTCTATTTTATCATCAGCATCATCATTCCAAGTCTGAACATTTTCATTCGTTATGTCATCACTTTCTGCCTCATAGCTTTCTGCTCCGTAATCGTTATTATCATCACCAATAAATTATTATCATCATTTTTACCGTAGTTTAAAAAAAAATTTTAATTCTTTATTTTCTTCTTCCTCTATTTTAGATATTGCCAGCTAAAACATGAACGTAAAATTAGTTATTACAACTCCGTCTACATTTTAATAACAATAACAATAATATTAATAACCATCTTCATCACCGTCATCACCACCACCACCACCACCATCATCATCATCATTATCATCATCATCATCATCATCATCATCATCATCATCACCACCACCATCATCATCATCCTCATCATTATCATCATCATCATCATTATCATCATCATCATCATCATCATCATCATCATCATCATCATACAAACATTCGTTGACGTTTCCATCCTCTCAGTAATCACCGCCTGATTGGTGCATGTGCAGTTGGATCCAACATTTCCAGTCTGGCACGTGATCACTGGAAAGCCATGTTGCAGTTTCCCAGGAAACAGGTTGCCAAGTGGTACCAACTTCAAATACCTTCTACGTCCTCTTGTCACTGAATGTTTTGTCGAGGTGACAAGATGTGACTATTATTCTAGTGATGCTAGTTGCGAAGACGATGATGAAAAATGATGGTGATAGTGTTAATAACAAGATGATGATGAAGATGATGATGAAAAATGATGGTGATGTTGCTGATAACAAGATGGTGGTGAAGATGATGATGAAAAATGATGGTGATGATGTTAATAACAAGAAGAGGACGAGACGTTGGTGGACAAATCTATTAAAATAGGATTTAAGAGATAATTGTTTATAGAAATAACTCGAATTTGTTTTTAACTTGTTACTGTGGGTGCTTGTGCAAATGTAGTTAAGTTAGTTTGCGGTCTTCTATATAAAAACACACGCACACATAACACGTACACAAACACACATGTAAGTACAGTACAAACACACAAACCAAATATCACCACACACAATATTCATTTGAAACAACTTATAAAAACTACACACAAGACACATAAATGCGCGTTATATATTTTATTCATTGTTCTCAAGTCGCATATATTTTTGTATAGTTGAATTGAACTAATGTAACTCAAATTTTCCACCATATTATACCACACTATACACAACATCTACACCACACACACACACACACACACACACACACACACACACACACACACACATACACACACACCACATCGACGAATACATACACATATTGCATTTTGACAAAAATTTTCAAACAGCAAAAATTCTCCTACCTAAAAACATGAAGGCACTCGACGTACCACATACTATCTACAAAAGGCAAGTATTAATAAAAGAAACACGTGCGCCAGTCGCGAATTCGCTTCTTACCATTTCTTAATATTATCTTGAATTAACATCTCTTTGAAAGTCAATGTTGCGTACCGGTTTAATTATTATACAATGATTCTCTTCTATATTTTTTAACATATTTTTTTAAACTTTCAACACCTTCATGTCATTCTTGAAATGTCCCGATTGATTGAATTCGTGGAAAGTGAGGCTAACATCATACGGAATGAAACAAAAAATCTCCCAACTTATTTATTTTTCACCTTCACTTTGAAATTGTTATGATGGCTAACGTAACGATGAATGGAACATATACAACATACCCACCCACAACGCCACTTGACCACAATTTAACTTTTCAACATTTAACTTTTGGTGTAACTTCAAAAGAACTTTAATTTGACTGGTTAAACGTGTCTGATGTTATTACATAACCAATTAAATTTTTAATTGAATTTACAAAGGCTCATTGTAAAAATTATCGTTTTTTTTTATTGTATTTCCAATAAAAAGAAACTTAATAAATAGCAACAAAAAACCGAACATCTATTTGAGAATTAAGTTGAAACAACTTTAACGAAAATCATCTTTGGACGTTGAAATATGCTAAAAAACAACTAAAAATATAATAACAATTAAGATAACAACAATAATAATAACAAATAATATCAATAATAATAAAATAATAATAATATAAATAAGAAAATTTAATGTCAAATACAGCTGTCTTAAACTTTTGAAATCTTAAAAATAACCGACAAGAGTTGCTAATTAAATGAATAATGGTTACCTAATCATTTTGAAAACATCAACAGAAATAATATTAACAATAATAAAAAAATAACAACAATAACAATAAAAACAACAACTAAAAATTATTAATTAATTATAGAAATTAATTATTATAAATACTAGTTTAGCGAAGTTTTAATTAATACTGCAAGAAATTAGCTCTAATAACTGACATTGATTTATAAATGCAGACAGACACACACGTACATAAGCACACGAACGAGTAACACACGCGTATACGCACATACACATTCACGCATACGCAGTTAATACACGCCTGTACGTACAAACGTGTACATACATTTAAATACAACGTGCATATACATTTGAAAATTGAAATGCGGCGTGCACATTCGCAGAAATCATTCATTTAATGCCATGTTAAAGCACTATTTGACTTGCCATTGAGGAAATATTAATGATGACGTTGATGAGTGACGAAAATAAGAATGATTAAAAAACATTATTACGACAATGGCGACGATGATATGACAACAGGATGATGGTAATGATGATAAATTCGATATTTAGTCAGTTATATCAGTTGATAACGAAACACGTTAATCTAACAAAGTCCACTGTGAAATGATTGGTTAATATCTTTTAAGATAATTAATTGAAGCTGGAGATTAAGAAAAAAGAACAAGAAACTCAACAATTTATTCCAGTAAACTCCGCTAGTTACTTTACCAACCTTTACAAACTTATCCCCGATATAAACTGAACTAACCGCTAAGAAACCGCATAAATGTTGGCAGCTTGATAAGGGTATTAACACACACATAGCATGAAATGAATGATCACCCCGATATTATCTATATTTTAAAGGTTGAAAGATTAAAGGTCATTAGACCATTTACTTTATATCACCCCTTAATGGCTGAGCCCGAAAAACAAAATAAAAATAGAAAAAATTGAAGTCGCCATGTTTTGGGGTATCTCGGTGAAACCCACGGCCAACAATAACCATGGTATGGTACTCTAACAGAAAGAAGAAAATGGCTTCAATTGTTAGGACACATACATAGGTACACATCGTATTTTATTAGAATATCATAGTAATAGGATTGAACAGAATTAACAGAAAAAAACTGTTCTCTATAAAAAATAATATTTGTTTTCATTCTAATAACTATTAGTATTAATAATAAGAGTTAATTATAATTATTGTTATAATTATATTAACAGTTATTATTGTTAAAAATTAAATAAACAAAAACACAAAAAACATATATCCTGTACAGTATGTGAAACACAAATTATGTGGACAGTGCTACCTACCTTCTACAAACAACGACAATTAAATAAAAACGCATCTATAATCAATATAAATAAATAAATAAATGAATAACTGAATGAGGTAATAATAATAATAATGAATAATAAGAATAATAATAACTACAATTAAAATTACAAGCAATGCATTAGATGAAAAAGAAAAACGAAAGAAATTACAAAATAATTTGAAAAATAAAAAAAACATTCTGTACATATATTTGCAAATGTCACAGCCTTATAGAATATATATATAAATATATATATATAAATATATATATATATAAATATATATATATATATATATATATATATATATATATATAAGTTGGAAGGAGACCATATTTTATAGAGTATTGTATGAATTTTACCAAATCGATGGCATTATGATACGTCTTGATAGTGAAGTGGCTCTGAAGTGGATAGCAGAACAACAGTTTCATTAAGTTTTTTCATGAACTTGGATAATAATTCCATTTTTAATAAAATGAACAATTTACAGAAGATTCTTTACGGGAAATTGAAAAGACAAACTCTAAATTGATTAATGCCAACAATTCGGTAGAATTCATACAATACTGTATATATTAGTATATACTGTACTGCAAATACTGTATATATTATACTAGTATTTGATTCAATTGATTTGAAGTTAAATTATTTTAACAACAAAGTAAATAAATAAAAATATAATATATATATATATATATATATATATATATATATATATATATATATATATATATATATATATATATATTAATATATTAGAAGTACAAATTTAAAGTACCAGTATAGCGTAGCAGTAAATGTGTGAACATGATGTACAGTGCAAGAACAAAGCATTTCACGCGTTTAGAAAAGTGGCACAAAATTTCTCTCATGAAAGCTGATCTATAATTGGATCTTGAAAAAATTTAAATTTGATTTTGAAAACGACTACAGAAAAAGAAATCTATCTGTATCCTTATTTGTGTTAATTTCTTAGAATTTTTAAAAAGATGAACGATTAAAATCTGTCCACAATTGTTGAGAAGTAAAAACATGAAAACAATCATTTACTTGATTGTAGGAACTATGATAAAATATTAAACCAATAAATAGATTGAAAATAAAACATGAAAATATAAAGAGTTTCTCTAGTTTAAAGCATGTGACTCTTCGATTTCTGACAGCAAAAAACAAACAACAACAATTAACAGCAATGGTTACAACAGCACAAGAAATATAACACCGAGGCAACCAAAGACAGCATTTATTCAAACGAAATCAAAAGAACAAAGACAAAACAAAACAAAACAAAGATCATAAACCAAAAACCAACAAACTCCCATATTTAAAAATTGAAAACAAATAACAAATCTGATGATGAATAAATTAAGAAGACAAATAAAAGAAACAAAAGAATGAAATAAAAATTTGTGTGAAAAAAAAATAGATCTAAGGCAGCAAATCTGCAACAGAGGAAGTATCGAGGTGTAAGACAAGCAGCTTCAGGAAGTTCATCTCCTTGCGAGCATTCTCGAACATTGACTGTGGATCCAACGTCAAACAACGCAAACAATTTGGCGCCATAACCATGGACAGGTTGCTGGCATCCATCTTGGTGACGTTCGAAACTTCAGCAACTGAAAATTTCTGCATTGGAAGGTTAGATAATTAACCATTAATTCGATCATTAGAAACATATCGTGTCAAAAACACAGACACAAACATAGGAATAAATTCAAAGATACAAATCAACTTCCAATCAACAAAACTTAATTCATACAAGACAACGCACGCAATGTAAGGCAACCGACCTGCAAAAACCTGATGAGATACATGAGAACAACTTTGTTGGGTTCAGGTAACTTGTCCATAATGGCGATAGCAGAGTCCGGATTTGCATAGCTTTCGACACAGAGGTCATAAAATTCAGTTGGTATCAATGGTTCATGAAGTTCTCTGTACCAAAGTTTGAGAAGTGATGCCAGTATGTGTGGATCGGTGGTTGCAGACGATGGAGACAGCCAACTCTCACATTTCGATTTCAGGACGTTCACTTCTTCCGTGTCTCCTGGCACTCTGTTCATTATTCATTCAAGAATATATTAAAATAAAACGTCTCAACGATTGTACACAATTGTTGTACAAATGCATTTAAAGGCAACAAACAAACAAATGCATGAATACACAAGTGTAACTATACAGATTATAAAAGTCAAATCAATCAACACACAGATACGATACATGTTATTGATTTTAACAAAATCGAACCTAAAAATGCCCTCAGTAAGTTGATCTTTAGTGAGTTCTAGGAGACATTCTGAAAGGACTTTTTGTATCCAGGGAATGCGAAGTGTTGGATGACGATCCTTCTGTAGATCTATAATGTCATCCAAACTGGCTCCAAACATGGATATGTCTATGAGGAACCTCTGTCAATGATCATTGGTCGTCAGGACGGTATGGTGGTCGTGTAAAAGCATGTAAAAGCATGTTAACAGCAATGTTGGAGACGCTTATAACAATGAAAATATTAGAACAGAAGCGAAATGAGTTATAATGCTAAAGCTAAAGTTACAACATTGCACATAGATACGTACATAGTGACAAAGATACGTCTTAGCTTACCTTACTGTGTTCCACCTCCTCCAAAGTTGGCCTGTGCTTGACAACTGTTTGTGAACATATCTTCTCAAGCCTCTTTATGCAAGCGTTGGCCAACTTGTGCAAGTGTCCCTGAGTTTGTTTGTATGTTTGTAGATGAGTGCATGCATGCATCCTTGATGAATGTGTCATTAAATTAAAACAGCTTAAATGATTCTAATTAATCTTATTTTACAGATGTAAGTATAGACATCAGTGTACAGCACAACTCAAAAATATACGTTCTTAAAACATATTTTTATCATTGATATAAACAAAAAATTCTGAACTAAAAAAACAATAGGTAAATAAATGAATGGTGGAATGGATGGATGGATGAAAGAATGAATGAAAGAAACAGTATTCCTCCATTAAAACGAAACAAACGCCCATTCCCTATCAACCTGATCAGTAAAGTCTCTGGTCTCGAGAGTCCGAGTGATATAACGATCCAAGTAGGATTGGAACTTGGTCGACGGAGGAAGGAATCCAAGACACAGAGCCATCAGCTCCCAGCCTAGCAGCAGACTGGATCTGTTCGATGATGATTGTAATGGTATGTGTAACAAGGCATGCTGTCATGTTATGATGCTGATAAATGCGACTGCAATATTGAGTGCGTGTTATATTGTGTTATGATGATGATCTGAAATTGTGGAAATCAAGTTAGTAAGTAATGCTGGAATGTTGTGTTTAATATTATACATCATTGATGACAATCACAGAAATTTTTCATATATTAGAAAAACGTCGTACTGATAAGATTTAATTAGATTCAAAAATGAGATGTGAAAAGAAAAATAGAATTGCTGTAGAACCATTAAATGATGCAAAAGATGATGATAGCAATGATGATGATGAATATATGAACGAATCATCACAAATACCAGCACACTGAATCAAATCAACATCATGGGTTATGGCGTTTGTTTGTTTCCAAATTATTATCATTATAAGTTATTATTTGTATTATTATTAAATTAATTTTATAATTTTCTTAAAAACTTTATTTATAAGTAAAAGAGAGGTTAGTTTTCTTTATTAAGCTCCCACCAATAGGCTGGGCAGCCTACTGCTGCAGTTTTCAATTGGAGAAATTTTTTTTCTTCTTTGACCATGGCAGAAAGAAAGAGACAAAGAGTGTCAGAAGATCAGTCTGACATTCCTTGTCCTTTAAATTATGTAGTTGAGGCTGAGAAAGAAAACATTTTTTCAAAAATTTCAATTTTTCAAATACATAAATTTTTTACAAACAATGTAGGTGATGTAGAAATAATTAAAATTTTTCCCAAAAAAGTATTAATTAAAATTAATAATGAAAACCAAAGGCATAAAATAGAAAATATTAACAGAATGTTTGATTGTAATATAAAGACTTACATTGAGAATAAAACAAATGTGGTAAAAGGAGTGATTAGAAGAAGCATTCTAAAAAATTGTTCAGAGGAAGAAATAAAGAATGAGTTGTGTACAGAGGGAGTAATTGATGTTAAAAATATAAAAATATTTAAAAATAAAGAACACATAAAAACTAATACCTACATTATTACTTTTCAATTATCCCAACTTCCTACAGAAATTAAAATATGCTATCATGCTATCATCATGACAAGCCATACAAAAAGGAATGACAACTAACTCTTTAGGATTCCTTGTCGTCTGTCTGCAGAGCTGTATGTATATCTCGTCCCTGAGTTCCATGCAACTCCAGCCCTTGTTCATGATCTCAACTGCAACGACTGCCTGGCTGTTTGTTGATGTGTCCCTGGCCTTCTTGTCCCCCATGTATGACTGGATGAGTTTGAATACCTCCAGGGCCTCCTTCTTGACTGTCTTGTTCTCCGTTCTGATCATGGGCTTCTGTATGAGATCCTGTAAATTGGGGTTCAGTTGTTGCTTTATATTCTTTGTATCTCTATTGTATTTTGTATTGCTTTGTACTCATTGTATTTTAGCATGTTAGCATGTTATGCAGTGGTTCAAAGTGCAATGACCAAAATATGCCATGGTCAATCATAATCAGTAAGTACATGGATATATTGCGTTTTTTTTATTCAATTAATCATTTTTTATTCAAACTCTTCATATTATCCTGTACTCAATCATTAAATGCATAACCAGTCAATCTAAAAACAATTTTCAATCTTGGATGTTCTACTGGGCAACTAAAAGACTTAGCATTGAAAAAATACATCTCAACAATGATGACAACGTTATTTAAACATTTAATTAATTTTCTAGTGTTGAAATATGATAAAACGAGCTAATGTTTGTTGCTGGTAATTGCATCAAGGCTGTTAATGAAGCGGATATTCTGGAAGAAAATGAGCGCATATAATGGATTAGGAATGAATAGAAAGAGGAAAAATGACTGAAAATGGTGAAAATCAAATAAGGCAAAAACCAACACAACTGATAGCAAGCATATAATGAAAGATATCAGGCTGGGAGTGTAGCCTAATTAATGAACTCGTTTATTTGTGATTGACTCTGCAAACAAACATTAATCATACTACGTACCAATTACTAACTGCTACTGTCTGATTGGTTATCAAATCTACTTTATAATAATTAATACGAGGTGCAATATAACAGTAAACAACAAATGCCATGACACGTACCAGATGCTGATTGACACCAATCAACGATCTATTCTTATCATTCACAACATTTCACAGACAATCAAACACAAACATATGCAAACATACATATATACATACATACGTACATACATATACACAAAGACACATACAAACACAAACACACACACACACAAACACACATACAAACACACACAAACACACATACATACATACACACAAAGGCAAATATAAACACACACACATAAGCATACATATAAATACAAACAAAAGCAATGAAATAACCTTCGTCCAGGAGAGCATGTTGCTGATGGGCACTGCCCTCCCCAACAGTCCTTGCTTGTGTTCATTCAAATTTTCTGATATGAACCGTTCTATGTCCATCTGATGAATGATTAGGAATGATGATTGTGATGACAGTTGTGATGATGGTTGTGATAAAGATTGTGAAACGATATAAAGAAAATGATGGTGAATGGTAAAAATATTGCAAAATGATGGCAGCTCTGTGATGATATTTGAGACGATTATTGTAATTATGGCTGTGTTGATTGTTTTAGTAATTTTTAAGAGCAAACAGTTGAAGAACTAACCTGAGCAAGAAGAGAATCAGCCACCTGACTAACAATAGCATTACTGCTGTCTCCACCAAATGGCACTAACATTGAAACAGGACGATGGGATGCTGTGAGCTGTGCTTGTAAGGAGAGACACTTTTCTAGGGCCACTTGTCGAACTATCGCAGATGATGTTGTCGTAGTTGTTGTACTTTGACTGGGAACTATAATTACATTGTTGTTGCTGCTGTTGTTGTTGCTGCGTCTTAATGACGAATGGTGTGACTCAGATGAGGAAGGGACTGATGATGATGTGGATGCTGTTACTGCTGCGGAAGATGTTGTTGTTGATGCCATCACTGATGACAATACGTTGTTGTTGTTGATGTTGTTGTATATCAGACAATTGCCATCAATATCATCTGCTGTTTGAAAAGTAATTTTGACTAGGGCCATTCTTAGAAATACTTTCACAACTTCTAACTACCATAAAAAAAGTATAAACATATGTAAGAAACTGCAAATCAGCATTTCATTGTTTAAAAATGCAACTTCTAAACACATTACAACAATAAACAACATTTAGCAGAAATAGAAAGAGAGAAAGAGAGAGAAAGAAAAAAAGAAAGAAAGAAAGAAAGAAAGAAAGAAAGAAAGAAAGAAAGAAAGAAAGAGAAAGTAGAAACTAACCAGCATCAGTACTGCCAGCACAAGCCACAACGTCATCATAATCCAAGTCGATCTGTAAGCTCTGGAGCAACTCCTCATGATTGATGTAGTCAGGCAGGTAGCAGGGTGGGTAGTAGAGTTGGTCATCACTCCTCCTCAGTGTTCCATTGTTGTTCTCGTTACAGTTGTCATAGTCGTCATCGTCGTCATCGACGCTGCCATATTGTTGATGTTGTTGTGGAAGTTGTTTTATATCTGAATGTCTTAACACAACAGGCTGGTGTTGTGGTTGCCGGTGTTGCTTATACTGTGGCTGTTGATGAGAAACTTGTTGCTTGCTGGCATTGTTGAAATTTTGCCAATGTTGTTGTTGTTGCTGCCTTGATGTATCTTTGAGCCAAATAATTTCCTCCTGTTGTTGCTGCTGTTGTTGAGGCTGCTGGAAAGGCTTTTGCTTTGTTGGTTGTTTGGCCAATGGTTGAGAACTTGGTTGCTGTAGATCAAAATTTTTCTGCTGAACAAAAATCTGTTGCTGGTTAGAATGATGATGTTGCTGATGAGACAAATCTCTAGATCTGAGTGTTTGAGAACCATTGTTGCCTGTTATGTTACCACTCATTCTGTTACTTTCCAACACCTCCTGTTGCTGCTTTTGTTGAGAACTGTTATCCTTGGATGACGTGAAAACATTGACATAATCTGGCTCTGAGTTTCTACGCATGTGTATTCGAACACCTCCTTGTAACACCTGTTGTTGTTGCTGCTGTTGCTGCTGATGTTGGTGTGGCAGTGGCAACTGTTGGCTGTGTCTTTCAACTTTTGTGTTATTCCTGTAAAGTTGTTGTTGATGCTTTGATTGTTGTGGCACTCTCGTTATTTGTTGCTGCTGGGGCTGCTGCAAATTATTGCTTCTCTTTTGCAGGACAGATGATGTACTGATCCTAGAAAATGCAGCATTTAAATTTTCATCAACCTCTCCATGGTAACGAACATATTCATCACCATTGTATCGACCCTGAGTTATGGCATTGGCCTCTGTTACTCGTCTGAGTGTTGCGACTTCCCTGTGGCCAGCTGGATTATGTTTGTGGTGTTGATGTTGCTGATGCTGTTGTTGTCGCTGGTGAGGAGGAAATATGTGGTTGCCTTTGTTGTTGTTGTTGTTGCTGCCTGTCAGTGAGGATGTTGATGATGATGTGGACGAGTCACTGTCATATTCATTTGAGTAATCATAATCTACATTACTAATTTTTTCCTTTTTCATAATATTGTTATTATTGTTGATTTTATAATTGTTTACGTTGTTATTATTATTATTATTATTGTTGCTGGATGTTGAGAAAGAGTTGTCCTTCTTTTTCTTCCTATCTCCGAGATATGACCTTGTCATCTGGAGGGTTTGTGAGCCTGGATGGTAGCCATAGAGACTTGAATCAACAAATGTTTGATTGAAGACCTCATCAAAAGAGTTGTTGCTGAAGTTGTTGTTGTTTTGATTGGATAAAGTTGATATAGTAGATGGATTGTTGATCTCTTGTTGGTGCTGTTGTGGGTGATGTTGCTGATAGTAAACAGATGTTGTTGTTGCAGTTGTCAGTGGTTCCTGTAAAGCCCTGAAAAAAAGTCATTAATGATGAGTTAGTAAAATGTTGGTTTACAAAAAAATAATATGCTACCAGCAGTGAAAAATTTTGCAAAAAATACAAAAAAACCATGAAATAAAAAATTTTGGTGACCTCCTCCTTGTCGACAACATATTAGGATTAGTTCGAGGAAAAGCTTTTGGTTTGGGTCGTGGTGTAACCTGCACGGCTGTAATTTGGGAGACATCTTGAAGTAGCTGTTTTTGGTTGATGTACCGTTGCTGCTGAGATTGTTGTTGCTGAGAAAACATACCACTGTTGTTGATGTTGTTACTGTTACTGCCAGTACTATTGTGGTGTTGTAGGTTGGTTGTTGGTTCTTTAGTAGCAGCAGATGACGCATTGCTTGGTGTCGAAGATGACGATGACGATGATATTCCAGAGTCATGAAGAAGATTGTGCTTGACTGGCGATAAAGCAGATGACATTTGATCATTAGTTGCAACATGGCTGTCTTGGGAATAACGAGTTGATGATGAGAGTTGATGGTGTCGCAGTGATGTCGACGTTTGTTGCAAATGTTGTTGAGATTGTTGATGTTGTCCCAGCTCAAATGCAGGCGAATACCTTACAATCTGACTACTGGATGACTTCTTTGATTTTAGATGCACTTGTTGTGGCGAGCTAAAATTATGAAAAGAATAAACTTGATAAATGCAGGCATATGTATCATTGTGCATCTGTCAAGTAAAACACATAACTAAATAAAAAATTTGACTTTGTTAACAATTTAAAAAAATGTGATAGCTCATTATTACTGCTTTTTATTGAAATTAGAATTCTTAGTACTGCTATCATTGATTTTATATTATTATTATTATATGAATATACTTCTAAAAACCTTCTTGAACGTTGGTATTCATTGGTGTTATTAGTTGCACCTCCAATCATGGAGTTTGGCTTAGGAGATTCTGATGGCCTGCTGCTATGGTTGTTGTTAGTGATAATGCTGTTGCTGTTACTACCACTGCTATTGTACTGCATAGATGGGCTTTGAGAATACTGTACAGAATTGCTTCTCAAGTTTAAGCTGTTTGTATGAGGCTGTTGTTGTAGTTGCTGCTGCTGAGATGATTGCAACATTTTTTTAGTTGTAATTCGACTGCTGGTTTTAGAAACTTGCTGTGGTCCATTGTAACTATTTTGGTTGTTGGCATCATCATTATTATTGTTATTGTTATTCATCAACATCATCATAGCGGTTGATGACACAGATCCTGGTGCTGTTGTTGGGAGCGTTGATGTCTGTGAGTGCCAATGATGTTCGGATATCTGTCGACCAGTGTTGTTGTTACTGGGGTTGCTGTTGTTGTTGCTACTACTCATATTACTGCTGTTGTTGTTGATGATGTTAATCTTTTTATCATCAATTTTCATTCTCTGCTGATGTTGTTGTTTTGATGACGGTATGTTAATATCATCTGACTTTCTGTAAGAGCTCAATCCAATGGCCTGCTGGTAAAATAATTTTTAGACATGTAACTCAACCTGTTTTCAGTATTTTTAGGGATGAAAAAAAATATAAATAGCATGAAAATTATATAATCATGGAAATTTGAAAATTCATTTCATTCATCTGGCAACCTTTATTATCTCATTTTGAAAATCATTTCAGCGATATGATATAATCTTAACATCATGCACTAGTCATTAATAATAATAATAATAATAATAATAATAATAATAATAATAATAATAATAATAACAACAAAGATAATATTAAACAACAGGATATTTGATGATGAAGTGGATAATCATAAAAGATGAGTTACATAATAGAAAAAGAATTAAATATAATGAAGCAATGAAATCTATAATAGTATCATGTATAACAATATCAGTTGTAATAGCAGTAAATATGACTAAATAATAGTAATTATCGAATATTATACAATACTAATAGGTATGTTTAGGTTAGAAATAATGCTAGTAATATTTTTAAATGACCATCCTAGCAGAATTGAATGTTAAGTAAACAGGGCAGGATTTACAATGCAGTACATTGATATTCCATACATTATTTTCTCTTTTATTATATTCTTATTATATTATATCACTATAATATTTTTATTATATTCCATCTCTATTAGCATTTTAATATTATGAAATATTGCACTGAATTATTATTACAAAAAGAATCATAGTGAAAAAAAAGACTAACTGATGAATCATTGGCATTCATGCTGCTGTTGACATTCTTATTCATTTCCATCCTAAAGTAGGACGATGATGAGGACGACGAAGAGGATGGATCAACTTGTTGCTGGTGCTGCCTCTGAGCAATCATTTCAATTCACAATAATAATAATAAAATTAATAACAATAATAATATTAGCAATAATAATAATAATAATAATAGTAAATAATGTTAATAATATTAAATAATATAGGCCGCATTTATAAATTCACACAACACAGTAAAGAGTTTGTCTGACTAAATCAGAATGTTCTAAATCACACTTTTATAACAATAGCATTGCAAATTAATGACTGCAAGCTAATAAGCTGTCTGACAAATGAGTAGTGATATAAAAACATATGACAGGCAGATAGACAGACAATTAACTATTGTAACCATAATTTCCCAGTATCAGGTGCTTGCTCTTTACAATCAAAAATTTCCCATAATTTAGCTGAGAGTTTCCCTATTGCTGATTGTAAACAACCCCAAAAATTCACAACTATTATGGCACAAGTAACAACTCTTTCTCTCTCTCTCTCTCTCTCTTTTTCTCTCTATCCATATCTTACGAGAGTGATGCTCAATATTGAAACAAAAACTCATAGTAAATACCATTTATTCAGATATCATCACAACTGAATTTGAAAATCTGAAGCGTTAAAACCATGTAGTGTAAATATCAAGAGTGTGTATAAGCAATTCAAGATTTCTCTCTCTCTCTCTCTCTCTCTCTCTCTCTCTCTCTCTCTCTCTCTTATTTTTTCTCTTCAATGACTTTCTAGCAGTGATTTGATCTGGTTCATTACAGCAAATCCTTTGGCCCCATAAATAACGCTTGGTAAGAAAGAGTGAAATGGACCAGTTAAAATAATTTTTTATGACAATTCACAAGCAATATTAAACAAAATTACATTTGCCATTTATATAACCAGTAATAAAAAATAAATAAACTTTAATATAAAAAGTATGATTTGGGAAATAACTGAATAAATGTACATTAATATTTGAACAACTCCCACTTAGTTCATGCAATACAACAGGCACAAATGAATTAATGTATACATAAGAAAGTGAATGAGCAAACATTAGGAAAGTCATTTCCACAGTAAACAATATTCTATGTAAGTAAATTGTTTTCAAGATAAGATTTGTATTTGATGAATAATCAATTCTATTCTCAAAAATTCTCATCATCATCATCATCGTAGTCGTCGTCATCACTGGCATCAAGAAATTGTTAAATTATAAATGTTAAAATCTGTACCACTTGATCATCATTTTCACATCTGTGTTGTTATCATCAACATTACCACTTTTTAAAATGCTACCCTAGGAGTTAAAATTATTGTTAACAAATACTGCTGTGGCCATATCATATTGTAATTAAATTAAATTACAACACATTAATCACCACCACTAAAATCTAATCACTTACATATGACAATTTATAAAAAAAATAAGTGAAATTAAGTTAAACGCAATTTGGCAACGATTACAGAAACTAACATTAATGTGATTTTATCTACTAAAAAAGCTACAATGATGCCAAAGCCAACTTTATCAAAAACATCTGTACCCAACATCAGCATCAACATGTCAGTATAAACATTGACATCAGCCAAAGTTAGCCTCAGCATCAATAAAAAGAAAGTTGGTATAAATAACACAAGTAATATCAGTTTTTTTTTAAATTCCTAGTAGGAGTTAAAAAAAGAAACAGAGTGCGAAAGAGAGCGAGAGAAAGAGAGAGAAAGAGAGATGGAAAAAAGAGAAACAGAAAAAAGGAGAGAGATGCAACATACCAACATTAATTGGAACATCAAACGAAATTACAAAACACACTGGATTAAAATAATAGGAGAATTTACTGAAGGTATGCGTGTAAAAATATTAAACACATTTCTAATTACATAACAATATAGATACAACAGAGACGAAAAGCAACATTTTCAACAACGCAATTAGGTCAAACTATGACCCAATTTCTGAGCCTTTCAGCTTGCATTTTACTATCTATCCATCTATCTGAAAAGGCATTTATTTATTTCTTTTTATCTTCCTTCCAGCTTTCCACTTCATTCAGTTATCTCATCTGCTCAATGGCTCTGGTCATTGCAATGTTAAATGCTTCATTTCATTTGGTCACATGCAACATAGCCATTCTTCTAAGTACCTTTCCTTTGCACTCTCGCTTTACAATTATATTCATTCTTTCAATCATTTATTTAATTCTCTATCGTTACTTCAATGTTTTATTTATTTATCTATTACTTCAAACATTTACAATAAGACGCATTTAATATTAATTGAATAAAAAACCATGATTCAGTGTTACAATTTGCTCATCCTTCAACACCAATTAACTCATTAATTTTTTATTAGATCATGTTTTTTAAAATCATTTCTATAAATTTCCATTAATTCACTCAATCACTCCTTCACTTATTACTTTATTCATTCATACAAACATTCACTCATTTATTTATTCATTCAGTCTATCACAGCAGTACAGAGCCATCCATCATCTTTCCATAAACATTCAGAGAGAAATGTATACATGCACACACCAACGCCTGATACCAGTTCTAATATTAGTAATAATACTACCACTGCTGCTACTACTATCACTTATACTACTACACTCAGAATATCACTAATAAAATTCTTGGAAAAATAACAGTATAATTAAATAATAATAAAAACAATAAAATAAAACTTCTCACACACAAACACACACGCGCGCGCGCTCACACACACACCCATATGTGTGTGTGTGCGCGTGCGTGTAGGTGAATCATTATTTCATCTATGATATTTGTTTCATTTTATCCTTTCATCTTTAATTTTTATGAGTTGCTGGTGAGTATCCAATTGTATAACTAACCTAACCAACACACACTCATAACCATCAAAGGACATATAAGCATTCAAATGCATTAACATCATTACGCACACACACTACAAACAGAAACACACGCACACGCACACACGCAAACCATATTTATATAGTGCATCAATATAATTTTGAGAACTCAAAAAACAAAGTAGAACCTTCAAAACTTCAGAATAAATGAACTATATTTAAAAATAAAATAACAAATAAGAATTCTTAAGAAAAAAACGAATAGTAAAAAGAAAACAAAATATAAATCAAACATGTAACCGAATCATTTGAAACATATGTTGTTGTGTGTTCCAGAGGGAGAGAGTGAGAGAGAGAAGAGAGAAAGAGAGAGAGAGAGAGAGAGAGAGAGAGAGAGAGAGAGAGAGAGAGAGAGAGAGAAGGAGAGTAGAGGAAAGAGATAGAGAGAGCGAGAAAGAGAGAGAGAAATGCTTGATTAAAAAAGATAGCAATCTAAACTATTGTAACAAAGGAAATCACAAAATAACACAATCAGTAGCAACTGGAACACCACCACCCACAACAACCACAATAACAACAACAAAGAATAGATTTTCATCATTACCACAACCACCTACCCATCTTAGTTAAGTGAGCTTACATATTCATGAGCAAGATCTTTCTCTTCATTTCTCCTGTTGCTATTACATGAAATGTACTGAGTATGCATGCATGAATGAAACAATCAAATTTGTGGCTAATATTTCAGGTTTACATTCAAAACATGTATACAGAAACATTCAAATGCATGTAAAGAACACATGAGGAACACACATTCAAATACGGAATCATATGACATACACACATACAAACGCGAATATACATACAAATAAACAAATGAGGAATCATCTGACATCTACACAGGTACAAACGCAAATATATGCATATACAAACAAACACAAGAAACATGTGTTTCCATTCAAAATGTAGACATCCACAGCCATTTTGTATGTAACAGTTGAAAAGCAATATCCTCTTGTAATCTAGTAGAGAAACAAAGTGAAAAGATGGTAGGCATAGAACGGCAGGGCGTTTGTGTGGACGAATATAAACAAAAATTGTACAAAAATGTACATACATACAACAATACAACGCGATACACGCCACTTGTGTATGTTATGTATGCATGCTTGCTTGGTGGAGCTGGTGTACATAATGTAATGAAACGTTATCAATGGTTCACTTATTTGTGTGTGTGTGTGTGTGTGTGTGTGTGTGTGTGTGTGTGTGTGTGTGTGTGTGTGCACGTAAACACTGACATGTTGTATACATGTTGTGCATAGGCAGATGCATGGAGTAGGTTTATAAATGTGAGGTAAATATAATTTACTCTTTTCAAAACTGCTTCCATGAATGAAATAAAATTGCAATTAAACTACCATAACAGATTTCATTATATTATTATTATTATTAGTTATTACAAAGATAGCATGAATTACTGCCAATATTTCTATGATTGCTACTGGTTTTATTAGTATTATAATTATTACTTCTTCAATTACTGCTGCTGCTGCTACTACAACCACCACTACTTCTACTACTACTACAACCAATATAATTAGAGTAACTACACCACATCCATGATAAAAACAACCACAAAGATTGTCAAATTTTTTTTTAATTATCAAAATGTCATCTGTCATCTGTATTATTTTCATATCATAATTGCATAGCTATCATCATTTCACTTCCTACTAACACCCAGTTCATTTTGAAGTAGTACTAAATAACTAGGAAATAAATATAAATGAATATATATATATTCAATCATAATCAAACAATTTTTATCACGAAAAATAAAAAAATCTATTTAATGAAAATGCATTATTACATTACATAACAAAAGGCACACATATATATTTGGCATATCATTTATAAATAGGTGACTAATGTACAGTAGGTAATGTATATATCAAACACTCACTTGATCATTTGATGCCAAACTGAGATTTTTGTATTTGCAGGCATGCATACATAGGCATATGATGTGTGTGTTTGTGTCACAATATATGTCTGTTAATGTATGTGTATGTACTGCAAGTTCATCATTGATGTATTGCACTAAGTTATTTTTTGCATATGAATATACATAGTTCTTGGAACTTGTGAAAATCAGTAGATGATAAATAGCAGCCATAGATATAAGATAGCAATAAAAATAACTTGCATTATTTATAATTCTTTCAAGATCAACATTGTTATCATCAAGTCGATATATATATATATATTATTTAACCATAAACCAACAAAAAAACCTTACTTTATCTCTAAAGTGCATGCACACAATCACATACTTATAACTAATTTATGGTTAACTCCATTAAGGCACATTCATTAATTAATTAATACCTTAATGCATACATAACACCATTGGCATACATAAGTTTGCATTTAAAGATCAGTTCAAACACGTGCATAAATAAATACGCAAAAGAATATGCATTGTATATGCATGCACACTTGGATGCGTTAAAATAGAGAATCAAAATAGAGAACCATTCATGTTTATCCCATGGAGTTTATCAACACATGTTTAACAGTCTGAAGGCTTTAAAAAGAAATTGTTTTCATTTCAAAGAAAATACAAATGACCTAGTAACAACAAGAGCAGCTGTAAAATGTGACTGAATGGATGAATGAAAGAGAAAATGACTGAATGAATGAATGAATGAATGAATGAATGAATGAATGAATGAAAGGAAAAAGATCAATTAATAATGAAAAAATGAATAAATAAGTTATTGTAGGAAATTATTGATAACATCTCAAGTGCACTTATTATCCAATGACAATCATTGAACAATAAATATAATACACAATTACATAATTAAAAAGTTGCACTAGAACATAAACACACCCAACCCCAAAGAATGCAAAGAGCTAATAAATTATAAAATAATACTCCAATCCAAACAGAAAACTAAACATACAAACTGTATATAAACATAACTTGCAGTGCAAATGAGATCAACAAACACATACACACATAGGAACAAAGGTACATACATCTATACAGTTGAACACATCATGAAATACACAGTCATGCCTTCACAATGAACCAATCAATATGCAATTTGGAAGATGCCTGTGATGATGTTGATGTTGTTTTTGCAGTTGTTTTTGACATTGAAAGCTACATTCCTCAAATTGTTACTAATAACAATAGTGCTGTTACTTCAGACATCTTTAATTGTTGATGTTTTTATCACTGTTAATAATGTGCATAATGATACTGAATGCAATGCATTCTCTGATTTTTTTATGTTAGAGTTTGCACAGCCTTGAACCAAGTGAGGAGAAGAAAAAACAAACTACAGTAAGTGCAAAAACAAATAGAAATGATTTTTACACTAGAAACTTCTTCTGTGTAAATATTGCTACTGTAGACAACTGCTACTGTTAAGAATACTCAACTATTAAAATATAATTTAATAAATGAAATTTCAATAGCATCAAACAACATAAAATTTATTTTATCATCTGTAGAAATAGATTAGAAAATGATTTCAATCATCCATTTCATACAACTTCCTCTACAATTACTGCCATTACAATATAAATTATCTTAGCTGTTAACATAACCCAAACTATAGAGGTAATTGCTGATGACTGTGAAGACTACAAATCATCCAGTCAACTATAATTAGCACTTTTTAAATGGTTCAACCATTACCATTTTATCATCTATAATTATTACACCAATATCTGCAGAGTAAGTTGAGCATCAAAAAAAAACATCACCTACAAAAAAGTATAATAAATTATCCATTCAATTAAAGACTCTATGAATTTTCTTCAGCTTGTGTAAATATATAGCAGTACAAACACAAATGGAAGGAAGTATGCTATGCAGATTGTTACATGTTATTTATTACAATTGAACTGAAATTTTTATAAAGCACTCACGAATATGTTCTTTTGTATATTTACCTTTCTAATTGGATAATAATAAAAAACTATAAATAAATATAAAACATAACAAATGTTTTAGCTTTAACCTTTAAACTGAAAATAAAAGATTGCAAAAAATTACAAAAAATCAGATGAAGAAATGAAATTCTTAGGATGTAAAAAATAAAACATCAAGCAGAACTTATTTATATGCAAAAATGAATTTAAAGTATAACATTTTTAATATAAACAGCAAAATCAACTCACATCATTGTCCTGAGATACAACATGGTTGGTGTATATATCCTTAGGCAGAAAAGCTGATGGGGATATGTTAAAGTCTCGTTCCAATGTTGTTTGAGTGTTATGTTTAAGAGTCTGAAAATTTTATTTTTGAAATAAAAATCACATTAAGGGTAAATTAATTTTGATACTTAAATAGTTAAAATTCCAATTTAAATACATAAAATCTAAAAATCAAGTAGTAATAATCATAATGAGCAGTATTTGTGAGATTATTTGATCAATCAAATCATTGTGCACTAATTAAATTCTAACTTGAAGTTTAGCAAGAGGAATGACATCACAATTATTTGGCCTCTGCCAAACTGTTTTTTTTAATCTGGCATTGTAATAATAAAATCTTGAACATTTGGCATCAAATAACTCCCACCACTGATTCTCGTCATCTGCACTTTTTTTGCTGGAGTTGATAAATGATTGATATGTAAATTTTATATAATAAGCAGAATTATATCATTTTTAATTCAAAGACCTAACACTTGATAATAGCTTGAAAGGTGGGCTGAACAAGTGAAGACTGGTGTGTTAGTTTAGTTTGTTAATACCAACAACCAGGTTCAAATACTAACTTAATCCTAATCACTAATGCTATTTATTTGATCAGTTCACAAAATTAAAAAAAACTATAAAATATCAGTGCCTTATTTATGTATTATAAAAATAGTGTTGCTTAGTCTTTAAGTGAGCAAGGCCAGTGTGAATTAATATTGAATAACATAACAAGCTTGTGATCTGTTAGATTAGCATTGGATAGACCAGTTTTGCTTTTCAGCCTTTTTTTACAAAATTTAATTAAATTTTAAATATAGAAATGAAAGGTGACCAACATTTTGACACCAACTGGCGGATCCCATTTACACTCCCCAGTTGCCAAATTTGCATATATCCGTTTTTGTGATTTAGGCTCTAATATCTCAACCCAATCGCATCTAAAAATATTACTTTTTAATTGAGAAAAATTAAAAGAAATGAAAAAAATTAAGTGTGTAACAGTGTTACACTGTAACTGTAGTAAATATTGTAAATTAAATTAAAACAAAAAACAGACGTTTAGCGTATGGAAATACATTAAAAAACTATAATGATTGAAAAAATGCAAAAAATATGTATAAAATTAAATTAAATCACCTATCATTCATCTTCCATTTACTATTGAGCAAAATTGTTTAATAATTAAAAATTCTGGCAGATAATGAATCGGCAACGAATGCGGCCATGTTGCACTTGATGCATAGATAGATGAAATTGAAAATACAGGCACTTCTGACCGCAGTTAACCTTTGCACAATTTGATTGTATTAAAGACAAGTAAATAAATTTATTTCAGAGTAATTTTTGTAATAAATAGTAACTTTTTGTCATTTATCAAGTACAAAGTTGATGAGGCTGCCTTAATCACGAGATGACTCATTGTCTTTTTTATAATGATAATGAAAGATGCTATACTAATGATTAAAAATTCATATTAATATTAGCCACAATCATACTTATAGTTATAATGGTTATAATACTATTATGTAATAGCAATTTAAATGAAGTAGAGATAATATTTTATTCAGACTGGCAGATTTTCAATTAAAATGATTTTGTTACCATTTGAATTTGAGAATTTGAGATGTGAAAGTGTTGTTTTAACAGCATATAGAGCTATAACTCTATCATATGCCGTCATGGATATAGATCCATGTATGCCGTATGAATACTAAAAGAGTTTGAACGTTTTGTACAACTACTCAAAAATACCAAATAATGCATGGGAATCGGTTTTTTTTATTCAGCGCCACCTTCAGAGCAAGTCATAGTGCATAGCTACCAAATTAGCTCAGTGTTTATAAGCACCATGTCTCGCGCTGTAACTACAAGATGGCATCGTTCGAATAAAGTCTGTCCGAAACTCAAGGACCATTAAATGTGTGCAGTTATCACTATGTACTACGCAATATAGTTCAACATATTTTGGAAAGTGGCTCTGATAGTGATTTAAGCTGGTAGTTTTTACTAGATTCATGAAAATGTACAATTTGGAAATCCCGACGTTTTTAATAATGTAGTATTTCTATATGGAATTAACCGTACATTATCATTATATTACAGAGCAAAAATTATAGTTCGATATTTTAGGATTGTGGTGCTGATATGGTAAATTAAGCCTGTAATTTTTTACTAAATTCTTGTAGTGCTCAAACTCCTAAAGCATAAAATTGTATAATTTGGTAATGAATATAACGGCGTTCTTGACAGAATAATTTTCATTTTGTAATACAGATATAGTACACTAATCTGCTAGTTTTCTACTTGATTAACGGACTACTCAATCTCTTGAGCATGAAAATGTGTAATTGTAATGCTCTGATGTAACTACTGAATCAGGGATCAGTTCAGGGATTGTAACGGTTTAATTAACAAACTCGCAGCTTTTCACATCTATGTGGAATAAATTTACGGAAAAACTTTACATAAACGTCAACGGTCTTCCATATTAATTGCTGTTAGATTGCTAACTTAGATGACTTTGTTTAGGCTGGTGAGCGTTTTATTTATAAATGTACGTTATTTTAAAATAATTTTTAGAGCAGACTTAATTTTAAAAATCCGTCACTGTGTAACCATCTTCGTTTTTTACTTTCTGAGAAGTTTTTTCAAATGTAGTTTTTTTTCTCTGTTTGATAAAGAATTAAAGATAAATAAAGTAATTCTAAAATTGACCGAATTTTTTCACCTTTTTTGTGTTTTGTGTGTAGAAGTAAAAAAATTAAAATTTCATAAATATTCAATCTAATTTGAATTAAAGATTTATTTATAAATTCAACTTTTTTTAACAATTTAGTCAATTGTTTTAGACATATTTATTTTCTAAACAAATTTAACATAATAAAATTAAAAATGATTATTTAATAATTATATTTTGATTTTAATTTAATTATTAAAATTAAATTTTAATTGGAAAGGCTAAGACCCAAGCCAAGAACATGGAAAGTTCAGTAGAATCATCATCTGTTGACATTCCCCCGTTGTCATCACGTCATCATCAACCTCCTCCATCACTCCCTCACCATGTTTCAGCTTCTCCCTTCTTGACACAGCAACCAAACCAACCAAATAATGGCCCAGAAACTTCACCTATTTTTAATTTAAAAAAGATTTTCGATGGTTTTCTACCTTTCATAATTCTTGCTCTGGTCAAAGTTGGATATGATCACAGACTTGGTTTCAAATTTGATTTTTTTTCTTCTTTATTATCCATCCCCTGATTTTAATAATTGTTATCTTATTTTACATTCAGAGTTTAATTTTTTGTAGAATAAATAAAACAATTGCTTTTAATTTGTTCAGTTGTTTTATCTTTATTTTATTTTTTCAATTCTGAAGGAATCCTTATATTCTTTGCAATGTTTGGTACATTTATTTACTGCAATGCAAAAGTTCAAGAAGTTGCTTCACCAAGGGTTAGTATTTATAGAAATATAATGAAATATATTGACGATTGGAGTGTTGTATGTACATGAGTGAAAATTTGTCAACCTGCTACTGCAATATAAATGTATATAAGCAATACTTTACTTAGTAAATTTAACATATAATTCAAAAAACTTTAAAAATTAAAAAAAATTTTTAATTAACTATTTGAATTTCATATTGTAAATTGACATGTGCACTGTAACAACATTTCAAACTTAAATATAAAAGTGATAGAATATAGATAGATCATGTAGCTAGAATATTAGTGTACTGTACACCTCTTTACTGTTGTACAGATGAAAGCTATCTGAAATATAAATGAATGAATGGAATGTAATGAATCATACAGACACTTTTTCATATTGTTTATATCTCAGCTTTTTTTTAGTTTGCTATATGTGAATTTTTTTCTTTCTTCAATTCATTTACAGTGCCAGAAATTTTGTAGGGGGCAAATAAAGCACATTGTATCAGTGGGCCTCATATTGTTCTTCAACATTTTTCTACTCTACTTAACATTTGCTGATCAACACCTCTACAAAAGGTTAATTTCATTTATTTTCGCCTGTTGGTTTTTTTTTCATTCGTTCATTGATTTATTCATCTATTTAGTCTTTCTTTCATTCTTACATATATTTTTTTATTCATTTATTCATACATTCCTTCGTTCGTTCGTTCGTTCATTCGTTCATTTACTCACTCATTCATTCATTTGCTAAGTATTTTCCTGTTTACAAAATTCATTTTTTCATTTGCTCATCTTTCATTCATTTCATTCGTCCATGCAGTTTGTATTTCTTCCTTCCATCCTTTCCAGCCGTTGATCTGTGGACGTTGTTGTGGATTGTTGGCATGAATGATTTCATCATCAAGTTTGCCACCATTGCCATCAAGTTGGTCATTGTCTGCCTACCAAACAGGACCATCTGCTGCAGGAAGAAGGTTTCCTATTCTCTCTCTTCTCTCTCTTCTCTCATTTGTTTCTTTGTTTGTTTCACTGTTTTATTGTGGATTGAATCTTCTTTTTCCAATCCTCTGTTTTGTTTGTCTGATTGTTTGCTTGTTTGTCTGACTGATTGTTTGATAGTTGCCTTACATTTTTTTTCTACTTTTGGTGGATTTTTTTATGTATTCTACACTAGTTGGTTTGGTTTGATGTAAAACTTTGCTTTTTGTTTGTTTCATTAAAAGTTTTGTCAAGTAAATCTTTCGTTTTTATGTTGGGGTTGGTTTCTTGTTGGTCTCCAATCTGTCAAGTATACTAATGATCACGTTCTCCAATGCCATAGCTTCAGGGTTTAATAAATTATTTACTTTTTCAAATGAATAGTTTTTTGTTCATTTGTTAACTGCTTCAATCTGTCAACTTTAAATAATCAGTCAATCAATGAACTAACCAACCAACCATTTAGGGCCAGTGTTACCAGTTGATCGAGATGGCCAGCCAATCATATCGCTGCCTCATCCCAATCACACCATGGTTCTATTTTCTCTTCAGCAACTCTGAGAATGAGGGCTACATACTTTCAACTTGTCTGCTCATTGTTTACACCATCTGCAAGGTTTGCTATGGAAGCTGACTGACTTTGAATACTCTTGTTTTTCATCTTATTTAATTAGTTTCACTTTATTGATTATGTGTTTTGCTTGAACGTTTTATTTTTCAGTTAATTTAACAATGAAAAATTGGTGTTTGTGTTATTTTGTTTGTCATGTTTCTTTTGTTGGAAATGTTTTTCATAGCTGATGAGTAATATTTATTTTTGGTTTGTTTTGCCAGTCGTTTGATGTGTATGCAAAGGCCAAAGATTTGATAAAAAGTATCAGCATTTTCTCCAATTTCCAGGTTGGTTTGATTGATTGCTGATTGTTGGTTGGTTGATTTGATGATTAGTTGATGATTAAAGCAAGCAGCAAAACCTCTGCACCTTCAGATTTATGGTTCGACGCCGTCGGCACAGCAGCTGGCAGTGTACAACAACATGTGTGCCGTTTGTCATGATGCTTTTGTCTCTCCTGTCCAGTTGCCTTGCGGTGTTAGTTTGTCTTGTTTTCAGCCACTAGTAGTAGTATTTGTTTATTTGGATGTCCTGGTTATGACATTAAACTGACCCTCACTGCCTTGTGAGTGATGTTGGATCATCAAAGGCTAGGCCCACCGCTTATAACTGTGGTTGCGTAAGGAAGGGCGTCCTGCGTAAAAATTAGCCAAATAAATTACTTATGATGACTGAAGTGACAATTGCCCTCATCGAGGGCCATTGTCACTTCTGTCATCATTGTCATTTCATCATAGGTAGCCAAACGGCAACCCCCGATCTCGGGGAAAATGTCGTCTAAACGTGTGTTGTTGTTTTTGTTGGATGTCTTCACTTTTCTTTTCTCTACCTCTCATCAGCTCTTTTTTTCACATAGATCTTTCTTCTTTCCTTCATTTGTCTATTTTTGTCAATAAAGTGTAAACAATGAAGTTAATTAAAGTTTGGCATAAGCATTATTTCGTTAGCTCTGCACTAACGTCACGCCACAAATAATTTAACCTCACTAAATTTAACGATATATACGACGTACAGCATACAACAACATACGATATACAGCATACAACAACAGCATACAACAATATACGACATACAGCATACAACAACAGCATACAACAACATACGATATACAGCATACAACAACATACGACATACAGCATATATACTGTGATGAGTGCATAACTTCGTGGCTGGATAGGGAGCGTACATGTCCCATGTGCCGGTCCAAGATGCAGGACGGTCCCAAGTGGAGGGATGCTTCCACTTCCGGCAACCTACAGCTCTTTTAATTGGCTGGTTCATCATCTCTTAGTAAAGTGTTGTTGTTGATGGTGGTGGTGAGTAAGAGAAAGAATTTTAAATACTCTGGTGCTTATTGTGGTAGAGGTTGTATTGAATTTGATGAATGAGGGTAATTAGTTTGCATAATTTTGAAAAGATTGTTCATGGATTTATAGACGGCGATGATGTGGGGGGGGTGTTCAAGGTGATGATGACAGTTGCAGATGAATGAATGAATGAAAAGTGGAAATGAATAAAAACATTTGTTTATATACTTTTAAAGCTTCTGAGAAAACCTGTATATTTTTATAATAATTCAACCGACATTTTCTTCTTGTTAATAATTTTTTTATTCAACCCTTATCATTCAACAGTAATAAAATTAGTTGTTAGCAACTGAAACTGCGATGACAATATTTTTCATCTATCTACTTGGTGAGGTCTTTTCTCTCTATTTCTGTGTGTGTGCGCGCTCGCGTGTGTGTGTGCACGTGTGTATGTGTAGATATTTATCTCCTTTG